GTTAAGGTTTATTGAGTATTTTTATTGATTCAAGTAATGTATCAAGCCTGATGCTGTGAAAATTAAAGACTAATAAAAAACTGACGTATCAGAAGCATGTATTAATATTAGCTTTTTTGTTTTTTTGTGGTACTGGGGATTGAACTCAGGACCTTGTGCTTACAAGGCAGGTGCAGTGCTGCCAAACTAAATCCCTGGCCCCAGCTATTGTTTTTAATAAGTTGGTTTTATTAGCTTTTATTATTAATACACTGTTGGCATTTTTATCTGTTTAAGCTTTCATTAATCTGAGTTTCTCCTTTAAACAGTGTATTGAAAATGTTTCTCGGCAGAATTGTCCAATATGTTTGGAGGTAAGGTAAACTTTTCACTTTGGAAGCCTCCCTTCTTGATTTAGAATACTTAGGTGTTGATATCATCTTTATATAGCACTCACGTTTTCCTTTTGTAGGACATTCATACATCCCGTGTTGTTGCTCAGGTCTTGCCATGTGGACATCTTTTACATAGGTAAAAATGTTTTCCTCCTTACATATGTTTTAAAATAGTGGAGTTAGTTTTTGGAAAGGAAATGGGCATTCGTTTTACTAAAATACTGTTATATTTTCTTTCAGAACGTGTTATGAAGAAATGTTGAAAGAGTGAGTTTTGATGGAATTTTAAAAACTTATAATTGTAAGATGTCTTTCCTTTGTGTGTGTGTAAGTAAGGAGGTGGGCAAATGTGACTGCTGCTTACACATTATTGGGCATGACAGATGTTTATGTTGAGATCAGTAGGGTAGATGAATGGTATTAAACTGGCCACAGCATCTTGAGGATATGTGACTGTACCTGAATTCCAGTTTCTCTTACGCCTTATGTACTCCCACAACTCAAGACAGATACTTGTTGTTTAGCCATGCTTGTCAAGGAACACTCTCCACCAGAGGCAGTCATGGTATTCTGAAAACACTGAGGAGGGTGCTAAAAATGTTGTCAGGTCATGGAAAACTGGTAAAGAATTTACTTAAAAG